ACCGCATGGACAGTTTCCATGAGCTTGTCATTCATATCGTCCACTTCATTGCAGTCTTCTCTGCACTGAAAACGGTTTTGTAACTCGAGCTGAAAGGTTTCGGGACTTTGGAACAGAGCACGAGGGGGACGGAGCGTTGACTTCATTAGACGAGACCTCTCCAACTTAACGTTTAGGTTCAGTGTGCCTCTAACCGTTCGGAGATCGCTACCAGTTTTCACCCTCGCGATCATGGAGACATCACGGAACAGTTGTCGTCTGGTCGTCATAATGAAGTCAGTCTCATCTTTTTTCGAACCGTCGGGGCTCGACCAGGTCCACTTCCTGTGGGGCCGCTCTATGATGAACTCTTTCTTCCAGAAGCGTCTGGAAGAAAGAGTTCATCATAGAGAGTCCCTCTTTCTCCATGAAGTCGGCCAGCTGCTGGCCCCTTGGGTTCCGTTGCCCTATTCCAAATTTCCGTACTTTCAGCTCACCGTTCTCTCTTCTGCCTAGTTTTGCATTGAAGTCTCCCATTAACACCGTACATTGGGTTTTGGAGGAATGCATGGCTCTAGAAATATCCTCATACATTTCCTCCACCTCCTCATCGGGGTGTGCCGAGGTTGGTGCGTAAACCTGTATGACCTTCAGCGAATACCGTTTGGTGATTCTGAGTATAAGGTACGCAACCCTCGTCGACACACTCCCGACCTTTACAACGTTCTTAACGAGAGACTTGTGGACGATAAATCCGACACCTCCTTGGGACAGATGGTCGCCCTCCCGGTGATAGAGCAAGTTGCCGGATTCGAGCATTACCGTGTCCTCCCCCTCTCTTCGGACTTCGGATAATCCTATAATATGCCAGCGCAACTTGTCTATCTCTTCTTCCAGCTCCACGATCTTCTCGTCAGTCCTCGGGGTGCGTGCGTGGTACGTTGCCAGGTCGAGTCGTCTAAGGTGGCAACCGCACCTCCACCGGAGATTCTTAGCACCCTCTGCCCCGCCGTTACCATGGTCGCCACCGTAGCCAGGAATAGCGGGGCCGCCGGGGACTGGGGGCCGTCTGTTTGTTGCTTTAATTATTGGGGGGTATTTGCCATAGTTGCCACGCTTGGCGAGCGGGTTGGCAACCGCAGTTTTTTTATTGTAATTTTGACTATTATCAGGAAGATGCTGCTGCCCATCTCCTGCCTCTTTCACTTTGTCGCCTTTTACGACACCCACGGGAGGATATGGGGTAGTGGATATTCTTGACCGCCACTACACGGCCATATATATATATATATATATATATATATATATATATATATACATACAATCAAATATAGTTTGTTGTCTCTTAGATACAGTGATTTCCCTATATTTTCATGCAGTTTGATAATAAACTTATCTGTTACGGCCTACAGCTGCCCATGCAAATGTCGTCTTGGCTGGGCCCCATAGCAGCTTCCTCGACGGGCAGACGCAGGTCGGGCCCGATTGACCACATGGAAGAAGTTCCTATAACACTAAGCTATATGGGAGAATGCTAGAAGCACATATTACGTACCAGTATCAGAAGGTAACTTCGCACCAAGGCTCGGTCAGGCCGTGAGTGGGTGTAAGGTGAATGGCAAGTAGTGTTCAGTGATGTGTAAATGTCTGAGACCTTGACCACCTTAGGCGACCAGCAGCGGCCGAGTTCCAGGCTGCCCCAAAATGCTGCATCGCTCCAGCAGGCTCCACCGCTGGACCATTTCTTTCTTCATTGTCACTATTTCAGTCTATTAGCTTCATTGTACATTTAACTAACTTAAACTCGCATAAGTCCACCTTCCTCGTAGAATCGAACACGTGATACCCGACACAGTAAATAGTAGTTTAAAATTCGACATTCATTGTCCCGGATTCACTTATCACAAAATTATAAATAGGGAATTAAAGCGATCTCTTAATGAGTCATACGATTCAGCGTTAAACACAACTAAGTTCCTTCATTCGACACCAAAACACCACGTCGCGAAAATATTCAAAATACGCCTCGTTAACACGTAAACTAACAAGCCAATCAACACACAAAACGGGCACTTAACGCGACGGCACAATTATATTGATTTCCTGACAATCAACCGGGAGAAGCTCTCGAACAAGGAATGCGCGGTTCGAATCCTAGACCGTATAACTACTCGACGCGCGCGTGCACAATTCCGCATCCCCGAACAAGTTAAATATTGCAAAATTCACATATCCACGTAACGAAGTAACACGCACATAATCTATCTATCTGGACACTACAACGGTCGCGTGAACTTCGGCCACGATAAACTAGCTACGCGGGTTCCCCGCCTCGCGGCTAGCGGGGAACTTAAGCCGCACACCGCCGCCCCACCTGGCGGCGTTTTTTCACCTACATACTATCGGGTGACGCGACAGCTCGAACGCAATTGAATAGCGTTCAACATGAGCAAATTTAGGCATATACACTTATCTGTTAAGTATATAAATACAATAATTTACATCGCTGCTGTAGTGATTGCACTTGAGTAAATCCTAATTAGAACATGAACAGAAGTTGGAATTGCGTCACGCTCCTCACCTCTCCCTGGAACGTAATCCTCCGCATTCATTACCAATCATACAATATCTGGAAGTACAGCGCAATCTACTTTCATTCCTCGCAAATTGCACTCCAATCTTATTACTTTTGAGAATATTCCTCTTCCGCAACTTGTGAAAACCGCTTTATAGTTTAATTACGCACTATGTTACTATATCTTCTTATTTGGTTAAGAGGTGTTCTGGGGAATATCGTCTCCAATAATAACGCTTAAAATATAAGGGCAATATGAAGATCAACATCCGTTTCACATAAAGGAATATTATGTTATTCATATTATACATTTAAATAGGTACATCTTCAATAAAGTATCATACTCATACTGATTTATCCAAGAGGTACATATTATATATTGACAGTGTGCTACTGTCAAACATATACACCTGCTAACAGCTAGCCGACCGCGAGCTACTAAAAATCGAGTTGGGACATACACTGGGACCACAATTAGTAAATTATGATGTGGGAAGGTATTTGTAAAGGGGCACGTACGGAATTCCGCGTCATTGAGAATGTGTAATTAACAGCGGCACGATATTATGTAACTGAGATTTTGAAAGAAATTGTAGTGCCATTTGCCCCTTTTATAGGAAATAGATTTGTTTTATACATGATAATAATGCACTCCCCTATACTGCGGCCGTATTTCACGAATACCTTCGAATTCGAATCGTTGAAATCAACGCTATGGGGTGGCCAGCGCGCTCGACCGACTTGAACCCAATAGAGCGTGTATGGGATAAGATTGGATGACAAACTAAGAAAAGAAATCCCGCACCCGCTAATTTGATAGATCTTAAAAACGCATTACAGGAAGAACGGAACGCAATCTATCAAGATTTTATTGATAATTTTATGCCAAGGAGAATGCAAGCAGTTTGAAGATCTAAAGGGGCAACACTAAGTACCTACTTACTGATTATAGCCCAATAGCCTTTCCTAAGCATTTATGCAAGAAATAAATAAAACGTAAAGTTCAAAAATGTTTCTTTCCTTTAAAACTTTTCTTTCTTTTAATTTGGTTAATTTTGGTCATTTGATCGTGTTTTTTCGGTATACTCCTAACGGTCTCCACTAAAACAGGCACCAGTGGTGACCGTTAGAATAACTCATTAATTATTGTCCCAAGGGCCAAGTGGCGGACGTTGGGACATTAAAAATAATATTTATTTTCAGTGTTTTGTAAATGTAATCTAACTATAGCAAATGTATCTATAATTAACAGATTGCTTCTAGATAATGTTAATTTAACAATTTGTGACTGGTCATTATATTCGGTTCAGTTTAATATCATTTCATTCATTTTACTATTTATTTTCATAGAAAAACAATAATCACAATAACAGTTCTCGGAATTTAAGGAAGATAAGTAACTACGAACGATAATAAACGGCGACGAGTCGGATGGGGGTCATAAACTTTTTCAATCCTATCTACTACTTAGGATTGCGGTCCACTTTGATTTATTTTACCAAGGTAAAGAGAGACAAAGAATATCTCAACGGCTACTACTAGACTGCCACCACTGGGGGTCATTAAGATTAATATTATTTATTGTGTCAACTGCCCCTGCCATTGGTGGCAATTACAGTCATCGACACTTTGTTTGCGTTCCTCTAAATTTATAATACATATTGCAGTAAAAACAAATGCTATTAATTTATTTGTTTACCTTTTCTCTGATTCATGCTTTTTGCGACTCCTTGCGTTATCGCCGGAAAACATAGGATGGAATTCTCTCTCGCCACATCTACTGTTGACGTCAGTTGACGTTGAAGGTGATTGCATATCAATGTTATTGACACCACCAACTTCTTAACTATTTTTATGTTTAATATATTATCTTACGAGTGAGGGTAGATAACATAAGCTTTATAATGTATTAAATGGGGGGGGGGGGGGGCACTCGTTTAAGTAGTGTAAAGTACTGCCCAGGTCATTCAACGAGTTTTAATAAGTAGTTGTGGTTATTCTGTTCATCGCACCATTCTTTTAGTACAAGCAATGATGTTACAGCGCATCGTAATATGGCAATATGTGGTGTTCATGTCGATTTGCACTTTGCATATATATACTTCATTTATTTTGATGATATATGATATATTGTATTTACTTCTAATGCGTTCCATGAATATTTTATAAGTTATGATTATTTTACAGTTCATTTATTAAAATAGGTTAGAGAGAGAGAGAGAGTATTTTCTAACAATCGTCACAATGTGAAATTAATGTAGGTACTTTTATAATATCATAAAAAGATAAATATTAATCAATTATTTGTTATTACATCGTTAATACGTAGTTGGATAGCAGCGGACGTAGTTTATTACTCTCCAGGAAAAGATAATATTGATAACCTTATCATTCTTGTCATGAAGTAGTTCTTGATTGGGCATAACGAAATGTAAAAACATGTCTACAAACTTATTATTTATTAACAGAAGTTAAACAAATGTAATTAATAATATAAATAACAATATTATTATATATTTCAGGCAATTTGTTAACTTCTCATTAAATGCTCATGAAAAATGCTAAAGGAAAAGTTACTGGTATTGTCCAACTAACAAGTTTATATAATATATAAAAAGTATGTCAAATAATTAATTTAGACCAATTAATCTCCAAACGCTTGGTGCATAATTTTCTTCGAATATTCGTACACTACGAATAAAGCAGCTGTGGCGGGTATAGTCCTTATTAGAGTTGGCTTTAGGCCGTTGTAAAGAGCCAAAACACCTGGAAAAAAGATTTACGTTTAGATAACTATGTACGTTTAAAGATTAACATCTTAATTTTTATATTTACGTGAATACTACACTTTGAATGCAACTAGTTTTACGGATTTTATCAAGTACTCTTTACTTTAAATTATTTTATATCCCCGACAATTCTGCTACGTTGCAGCACCTATAATTGCCTCCCCTCCAATTATAGATGCTGCAATCTGAGATGTTTAACGTGCTAGCCTTGGTAAATTTTAAATTTTATTATATTATATTCATTTTAACGAGTTTCAGAGGAACGTATGACTCTTGAGATATCCTCATACATCGCTTCCACCTCCTCATCGAGGTGTGCAGAGGTTGATGAGTATACCTGTATGACCTTCATCGAACACTAATAATTCTAAGTATAAAGTACGCAACCCTCGATGATATGAAAATACGAACGTTGTTAACGAGTCTTGTGGACGAGAAATCCGACACCTCCTTAGTACAGAAGGTTGTCCTCTCGGGATGTCATACTCGTAGTTGCCACGCTTGGCAAGCGGGTTGGCAACCGCAATTTATTTATTATGCTGTTATCAAGGTGATACTGCCCACCTCGTGGTTCAATTTCTCTTTGTCGCCTCTTACTATAATCGTCATTGAAGTCGTAATTTATATAATAAAGGTGATAAACGCACACAGTCCACCTGATGGTAAGTGGATGCTGTGGCCCGTAGACATCTACATTTATCCTAAATTAAGAATCATAATGCAGATGAATTGTCACCATTGAGGTGACTTTTCTTGATAACTAAGATGGAATGCTTCGTCTACGGTTCTCTACACTCACCATACAAAACACAACAGCAGCGCTTGTATTTAAATCGATAATGCGTAAGATATGTCGTGTATAATTGTTTAAGTATAATGCAATTAATATATGTAATATATATACTATATATTATCGTGACTAGTACAATCCTTTTGTATATAGGTAAAACCGCACCTACCTTCATTTTTCACTATTTCATATCCGACAGTAAGAAATTTTTGTTTTTTGTTCGATATTTGAACACGAGATTTAATTACGTCGGTGGGGAAAATAACAGTCCACAAGACGCAGCCCCCAACGGCCCCAGCAACCATTGTCTTTAGAAAACCAATATCTTCTTTCGCTTGGCCTGGTTTTGCTAATAATGCCCTAGTCCCTGTAAAAGTTTAACTATGTATTAGAAAGCATTTTGTTATCCATATTTAATACATAAATATTTAACTATAACTAGAGTGACTAAAAGTTTATCTTCACTATTATAAGAACTCGGGTCACGTCCTAGTTATTTTAGTTATTTTTTATGTTTTGTAATAGATTCAATATTTATAAAAATTATGAACTACCTTCATATCCACCGAAAAAGAAAAAATATCCCGGCATTTCTCTCATTATTGTCGGTACTAGGCCTCTAAATAGGCCTTGTATTCCATATTGTTTGAATATTTGTTGCGAGAGCTGCAGTGGCGTCACTTTTATCTAAAATTAAAGACATTGATTTACAACATCTTGCCCTCAATATCCAGTAGATAACAGAATAAATCATGATGTGGTTGAATCCAATGACACAACGATTTTCAACATACTCTGAAACATGCTGGTAGACACAATCGAAACAGTTTCCATATTAGAAATTGGCTTATAATATATTTGGACAAATGAAGAATGATAATTAATAGAATCAGGCGTTACTTTGCAGAAGCTCAATAAAATAAAATACATGTTACTGTAAATAAATAATTATATTACTGTAAGCAATAAATAATTATACCGAATGAAATATTCTTTAAGCCATGACATGGATCACTCGAGCCAGTGTGCTCTGGTAAAATGTAGAAGCCTAACAAAAGCCGGACAGGCGGGAAACCGTCCAATTTGGTTGGACCTGTATCCAAAAATCCTATGTCTGGCTTTATTCGGACGCGTCACAACCCTATTCAGGAGTACCATATCTTTTTTTGTTTTTATCAATGACCTGCATCAAGAATATTTCATCATCATTACAGCCCTTCACAAGTTCACTACTGAACAAAGGTCTCCCCCAAGGATTGCCACAAAGCACAGTCCGGAGCCACCTGCATCCATTGACTTCTTGCATGTCTTACCAGATCGTCACTCCATCTAGTGGGGGGACGCCTTACACTTCGTCTGCCGGTACGAGGCTGCCACTCGATAACCTTTCTTCCCCATCGGTTGTCGGTTCTTCGAGCTATATAGCCGGCCCATTGCCACTTCAACATACTAATTCTTTGGGCTTTGTCAGTTACTTTGGTTCTACTGCGGATATCCTCGTTTTTAAGTCTACCGCGCAGAGAAACGCCGAGCATAGCCCTCTCCATAGCTCGCTGAGCGACTTTGAGCATCCTCATACGGCTAGCAGTGAAGGACCACGTCTCAGATTCATAGGTCATCACTGACAACACACTGGTTGTACAGTCTCGTTTTCAAGGTATATCTGACGAGAATATGTGCCGTAATTTACCTAACGCTGCCCAGCCGAGTTGAATCCGTCGACTGACCTCTCGGTCGAAGTTGGACTTACGTAGTCGGACTATTTGTCCCAGGTCAATAACTTCGAGCTTAGTGCTCCCAAGAACTACCGGCATAGGTGTGACATGGACGCTAAACATGATCTTTGTTTTATCCATGTTTATCTTAAGACCTATCAGTTGGGAGGCACTATTGAGGTCATTGAGCATAGTGCTTAGGTCCTCCAGCGATTCTGCTATAAGGACTATATCGTCGGCAAATTGAAGGTGAGTGATGTACTCGCCGTTGATGTTAATATCGTATCCTTACTAGTCCAGAAACATGAAAACGTCTTCCAATGCAGCGGTGAAGAGTTTCGGTGATATAACGTCACCCTGTCTTACACCTCTCTGCAGTTGGTTCTCTACTCTGATAGCCGTTGTAGCCCTACTGTACAAACACTTCAGCACTTCGATATACCGACAGTCCACTTGGCACCGCTGCAAGGACTGCAGAACCACCCAAATTTCGATGGAATCAAAGGCTTTCTCATAGTCCACATACGCAAGACTAAGTAGCAGATTGTACTCTTCGGTCTTCTGTACAATTTGCCGAAGGGTATGTATATAGTCTATGGTGCTAAAGCTTTTTCGGAAACCGACTTGTTCGCGAGGCTAGAAGTCGTCAAGTCTGCGTGCGAGAAGATTCGTAATGCCTCTCGGAAACAGCACGTGGACGCGGGTCAGAAGGAAAATCGGTATGTAGTTCTTCCCGAGAGAGTTGACGTGTACCTACAACTGCCCATAGAACCTCTCAATCTCACTCACTCAAAATCTCCGGCATCCCGGAAACGATGCTGCCACATTCGGTCTTCAGCTTCGACAGTTGGCTCTTTCTGGCAGACAGATCTCCGAGATATTTACGCACGATATTTTTTAACGATTTCAAATGTCGCCTAAACTGAGCGATATAGATAAATGGATTTCAAATGGCATTTATAGATAAAAGCCCTTGTAAAGCAACTGTGTACTGGTGATAAAACGAAACTGTTGCGAAAGAAAACGTGCTAGCTAGTTAGTAGTAAAAAATAAATGAAGAGAATAGGCGAATTAGGTATGAACAGATTCAGCAGACTTCTTTTTATTTCCTAGGAAATATAAAGATCAGCTGAAAGGGATACAGTCGGCAGATGTGCTAGCATCATTCTAGCAGATGCTAGAATAAGTGACTGTGGAAACATGAAATTTTGTATAGTGTGTGTTCTTTGTATAGATTTAATAATAAAAACGTTAACACATAGAATTATTTCAGTTTCGCAAAATTTTCTGAATGCCCACATAGTACAAATACTATTAAAATTGTATCACAGTAACTGCACTATACTAATTATTAATAAGTATTTTTAAAAATTTATGTAATATTCTCAATGAAATACCCAAAAGTCATCATACAGCTGTTTGTGAGCCCTGCACATTGACTTCTCTCATAGCTTGAAGTTGGCACTTAATCAATTCCGTTGGACAAAGTGTGAAGGATGAAAAAAACGCTGCCAGGAAACCTGCTGTAGCATTACCCACTGTTGAAAGCTGCTCTATGTTCTAAAACATAATACAAAGAAATAAGTACCAAATTATACATATTAGTTTCATTATAAATGTAAATTAACAGTTTAAATACATTCAACTATTAGGCTTTTGTGTTCACTGTACTTCAACAATAAATGTAGGCAGACATTATAGATATGATTACAAAATATTTTTAATAATTACTCGGCACTGCCAAGCTTTGTGTTGATGGCCATTGATTATGTGGACAATAAGTGCTTTGTGTTTAAAAGTTTTAGTTGCACCTACTTATAGTCTCAAGTCAGGGTACTTTCATACTGTAAAATTTAAGTTAGTAAAAAGCCTCTGAGCTACTATGGCTCTATGATGTAGCTCTGAATTCTCTTTCATTCACTCATCATCTTATTGCCTTTCAAAAAGAAATAATTACCTCAGTACCAGTAACTTGACAAATGAACTTTTGACAATAGCCATATGCTGCAAAAAGCACTGAATTCTCAGCTACATTGGCCATTATGGCTGGGGTGGTGCCTGCATATAGTCCCCTGATTATTCCGTCATTTCTTAGCGTTTGTTTTAAACAGTCAAACATCCCCTTATATAGTTGTGGAAACGTTTGCATCTTAACCTTTACTGTGTCTAATGGTTGACCTACATATACCACTGCTACACCACCTATTGAAAAAAAAAACAATCACAAAAAAAAGCTAACATATACCACAATTACTTACATCTACATTATTATTTTATTTTCACCACTTTCCCCGTCTCATGAATCATAAATGAACATTTTGATTGTTTATCTATTTTCTGCCGACTTCCAAAAAGGAGCCGGTACTCAATTCGACTGTATGTTTTTTTTTTTCGTTTTTTTTTTATGTGTGTTACCTCAGAACTTTTTTCTGGGTGAACCGATTTCGATGATTCTTTTTTTATTTGAAAGCTGGTACTTCTCGTGTGGTCCCATATGAATTTGATCAAGGTCAGACCAATAGTTTTTAAGTTATTCTTAAATAACTTATATTGAAGTCGGCTGTACAAAATTTTTAATTTTAAATTATGTCTATATGTGAACAGGGAAACTTAAAAACATCTCACAAACAAGTATGATTGTGACCCATAACTGTGAAGTCTTAATTGCACTTGGAAGTGGAATGTTGAGTACCAAACTTACAGAACCTTTGAAGCTTCCACCTGTCACCAGTCAGGCTATTTTATGTGTGGCATTAACGAGATTTATGAGACGATTTTTATGGCATTTCTTACAGTTGCCACCCATAGGATGAAATGGTGTTTATTCTCTTATGCCCGCACCACACGACAAATCCTCTCAGAAAACGGAGAGATACATGTTCAGCAGTAGACTTATATAGGATGATATAGAAAGATAGAAAGGAAGAAAAAAAACTGTATTGAAAAATTCTTGATGATTCATAAATTTGTAGTGTATTGAAATAATAGAAAGGGAATGTTTGTTTTAATGACAGGATTATTACAAACAATTTTTAGCGAGTCTAGGTCTGATAGTATAGCTCACTATATTATGTTGGCTGTAAATATTAGTTCAATTATTTATAATAATAAGATAATAAGAATATGATGGAACTACCATATCCTTAGAATCAAAAGCTCAATAAATTTAAAGAATGTTACTGTTAATATTTTTGCTTTTTTTATTTAAATGTTATATAATATGCTTTTTACAAGTCATCTTGCTATTTTTTTGTAATTTTTTTACTCAAGTTTGTGTATTCTAATAATTGTACTTTAAAGTAATAACCACCTGTTTTCTAACATACATATTATATATGAGTGTATTAATCTCAAAACAAAGGGAGAAAGACAGAGTGCAGCTTATATTTCTTATAGCAAAAAACAATAATAGAAATAGGCATGTCAAGAAGCTGATCATGGTTTTAACATAATTTAAAATGTACACAGCACTCCATGTATCAATGTATCTGTATTCATTGATGTTAGATGGCAGTGGTCTGAGGTGTTAATAGTTGTATTTTAAGTCTCATATCTATAAAAAAAATCAAACCTAGTGATCCAGCTGTAAAGTCAATTAGTCCACTTTTAAAGCTTCTCGAAGATCCAGAAGGATGTTCCATTATATAGCTGCTTTTAAAAAATATTTTCACATCTGAAAGTCAAAGAGCATTGACTGTTTGAGTTTAAAAATTCACAAAACTTGGAAATTTTACAGGATTGAACATATATTATAGATTTTTAATTAATTATTAGCAATATTCCTAAAATCTCTATAACAAAAGCTGAGTTACATATTAAAGTTTTAATTAAATATATTAAATTTTTAAAAGGATTAAAATGTCTTTTATAAGATCAGGTTTTGTAGTTGGGTTTGTAAAAATTTCTCATTTATTTCATATTTTACACGAATATTTATTTCAATGAGATAAATACGATCTATGTAGAAGTTTATGAAGAGGGATTTTCTGCACCACTGAACCCATATTCATGTTCTACACACTGAGCTTCATAATTAGTTTTGGTTTCATTATAAATTGTGATGTCTAATCCAAGGATTTACTTACCTAAGGTTATATTTTATTTTAAATAATTATATTTCTGACGGGATTACAGAATAAGCAATAAAATGTGAGGATAAAATGCGTAGGTACTTCAAAACTGCGCGTGAAACATCTAACAAAAAATTAAATAAACTTCCGCTTCGTGTTATTAAGTTCCATTTGCATGAAACTAAAACGAAAGACGATAATATTAAATTCTTATTTTTTTTTAAGTTTGTGGTTATCCACTTTAACTAAAAAGATTATCAAAGGAATGGAAAGAATAGTAGTGCCTCACTCACTGCCAATGAATAAAATAATTACTCTTGATATAGATATACTGATAAGACATAATGATACTCAGTCTCAAATAGGTTAAATATCAAACTAATATATTACGAAGTACTAGCGCAGCTATATTAATGTATATATATACGTAGAATAACTATAAAGTAGAAACTAGAATAATTTTGATGATAAGCAAGAATACAACCACAGCAAACCACAGTACGAAAACTGATAAGTGATAAGAGAATAGGCTTGAACAAAAACTATCGTTATATCGAAATAACGATTTTTAAAATAAAAATATCGATATATAGTCGATATTTTAAATCGCGTTATATCGATATTTATTTTAGAGTCGAACAATTCGTACCAATTTCGATATATTTTAAAATGTTGTATTAATGACAAAACATGTAACAACAAAAGGAGTGTGGTGGTTGTCGTTTTTTTTTCGTCGTCCAACCGTCAGTAATATAAAATTTTGGACCTTATCTTTACATCATGCAAATGATGACGATATATCGATATATTTTTTCCCTTGTCCATCTCTATAAGATAACATATATATATCTGTGCCTCTCTTAGTACACCTGACGAATCAGTGTTTTGAGCACGGGATTTTTCCTAAAGGTCTAAAGCAAACAATCATTACACCTGTACATAAGAGTGGTGATAAAACCGATCCTTCTAACTTTAGGCCTATATCTATACTATCGGCGGTGGCAAAGATTTTGGAGAAATAGATAAATGTCCAGCTGGTAAATTATTTTTCTAAATTTAATGTTATTTCTGCTTCACAATTTGGTTTTCGCAAGAACCTCTCTACTGAAGATGCAGTATTGTCTTTGACCTCCTTTATTGTTCAAAATGTTGATTCTGGAAACAAGTGTTTAGCGGTCTTCCTTGACTTAAAAAAAGCCTTTGATACGGTGTTCATATCCATTCTTTTGAGAAACCTTCAAAATGTGGGAATCAGAGGCACACCGTACAAACTACTAGAAAGCTATCTTAGTGACCGTAATTCGCGAGTCAGGGTAGGGACGACACTGAGTTCTGAATGTAATGTCAGTTACGGTGTGCCACAAGGCAGTGTGCTTGGCCCAACTTTGTTTCTAGTATATATTAACAGTCTATGCAACATGAAAATGGAAGGTGGTCGCATTTTTTCGTACGCTGATGACACAGCTATAGTTTTTTCGGCCAAAAACTGGGATCATTTAAAAGTGCAGACTGAAGTGGGCTTAGCCCGGATTGCTTCTTGGCTGAAAAATAATCTCTTAACTCTTAATGTGCAAAAAAGTAACTACAATGTTTCACTAAGTACAATAACAGTCAACCCTCAATTGGCTTTAAAATTATTATTCACCAATGCGATAAAATTTTAACTAGCTGTTCGTGTGCTGAATTAAATAAAGTGTCAAACACAAAATATCTGGGTGTCATGGTTGATCAGCGTTTGTCATGGCATAGTCATATTGAATTGATTATGAACAGAATGAGAAAACTCATATGGACATTCAAGACATTACGATATGTGGCCTCTAATAGTATCTTGCACCAAACGTACATTTGCGCATTTACTCTTGCGCAGTCGGTTTTAACGTACTGTTTAACCGTTTATGGTGGAGCAAATAAAACAAGATTTCTTGATTTGGAAAGAGCACAGAGAGCATAAATAAAAGTTATGTGTTTTAAGGCGCGTAAATTTTCGACTAACCAACTTTATTCCACTACTGGTATGTTATCTGTGAGGAAACTATATATTCTAAATACTGTATTGAGAAAACACCAATCATTATCTTACAAATCGAACATGAAAATTACCAGAAGGAAACATAAAATCATCACACAAACTCGAGTAAAGTCAGTATTTGCTGAGAGACAATTCGCGAAGAAATCAGTTGACTTATATAATAAAATAAACAGGGAAATAAATATCCATCCCTTAACGTTCGCCAAGTGCAAAATTGCTCTCAATAAATGGTTAAAGACGAAAAGTTATAATGAAATAGAATCATTGATTTGACTAAATTAATATAAAATGTATGCATAAGTTGTGGAAACTGCAAAAAAAAAATCCTATGAAAATATATATTACCTATATAAATTCTTAAGTTGAAATTGAAAATGTAACACACACACACACACAAACGCACACACACACACACACACACACACACACACACATACACACACACACACACACACACACACACACACACACACACACACACACACACACACACACAAATAAGATTAGTCTTGTTAAAAAGGTTATGTTTATTTTATTTTTTTGTTTATTTTTATTTATTTATTTATTTTTTGTTTAAATTTGCGATAGCTGTGTACCTCTTTTATTTTAAAATTGAAATTGTAATCCTTATTTGTATTTATTTGGCGGTTTCTAGTCTGTTGTGTAACCTCGCTATGGATGAGCGGTGCTTGCTAACACAAGCAAGATTATTTGCTTAAAAGGAAGCTCCAAGTACTTAAAATTGTATTAGGCTTTGTTACCGTAATAAATTATTTTGTATTTGTATTTGTATTTGTATATATATATATATATATTAGCTGACCAGGCAGACGTTGTTCTGCCCTTTCCGACGACCCTTCCCATAAAAAAATATTGAAGGTCGTTATCGGGATAAAAAGTATCCTATCTCTCAAGTTGGACCAAACTGCACAGAGTGTGCAAATTTCATTGAAATCAGTTCAGTAGTTTAGAAATTCATCGCGGACAAACAACGTGACACGTAATTTATATAGGTTATAATGTAATATAGGGAGTGGGCGCTTGGAACATTGTAACCGTTCCCCATTATTCTTAGAAAGAGAGGCACCGAGTTTTGTATTTTATCTCCTTCTAACATTGATAAATGTTTACACAAAATAAAAACATTATTAGGTATTTGTCAGGTACATATCATTTAATATGTAAAAAAAATTAAGAATGATTACCCTAGAATACGCTTGAGTTATTCCTCGTTTTGTAGGCTAAGACCGTTTTGGATATGTTTCCCACGAAAAACACGAGACACTTGTCTATGTAAGACCCATTCAATTATGGAATTGTTGGTTCCTGGCTTACATCGAGCTAGGGTTATGTCAGAAAGTAATACAAGTCAACTGCTTAAATCTTTGTGCTGCAATGAATATGACGAAAAATGCTTAGGTCGTTTGTGCGGGTCTTGCAAGTATAAGGGAGTTACGTATTTAGCGTTTAATGATTCAACAAGTTTAGACTACTACCAATGGGTTGCAAAGAAAGAAAATTCCAAGTCATTAATATCTAAAGTTAAATTTGTAGAGCCTGCTAGAGCAGTTATATCGAAAGTAGAAGGGTATCTTGAGATATTCTTAAAATGTTCAAAATATTCTTGCTCAATACAAATCTTTAAATGAAATCAAATCAAATAGAGAAAACTTATAGCAGCGGGTCGCAAGTATCGTACTCTGAATGCTAAGGATTTGGGAATGGGTGATGAGACTAACAGAGTTTATATCAATGAGCACCTTACAAAAGAAAATAAAGTTCTTTTAAATACATGCAAATAAAAAGCCAAGGAGATAAATTATAAATTTGTCTGGACAAAAAACTGCCGTATCTTCGTTCGAAAGGACGAGGCCCCACCCCCTATTCCAATATCCTCATCAACCGATATATCCAAAATAATGTAAAACACTGTTTGATATTTAATAATTACTCACCTTTCAATGTATGCAATAATCCTCCCTTACACTTACATAAAATATTTTTACACTTCTCTACACCCAACTCTATTTACACACTTATTGATTATGCAGTGCAAGAGTACCTCACAAGTATATCCTTTCCATGTGAACTACACTCCTATTTTAGACCGAAGCAAATTCTCGTAGTGCCACATTTAAATGCTATTAAAAACTACGGCTTAACTTATAGTTATACATTGACCATTAAGGTTTGCGAATATTTATCTATATTAATTAATAACTATGTCTTAAAAATAATAGTTTATTTTTCCTTTAAATATTTAACATTTTATAGAGTGTACGTTTATCGATTTCACCACTACTACCCTGTCAGAAATGGATGAAAATAGTAAAAATAGTAACAACCTTACATTGCTTTATCAAAACGTTAGAGGGCTACGAACAAAGACTAATACGTTTTATAATAATCTGTTACTGTCTGAGATCGATGTAGTTATGATTTCTGAAACATGGTTATATGATGGTATTTTGGACGCAGAACTAAGTGACGATAATTATAAAATTTTTCGCAGAGATCGAGGATCATTAGGAGGTGGTGTAATGTTACTTTGTAAATCAAAGCTACACGCGAGCATGAGACCAGAATGGAATAATACTGATCTCGAATGCATTTGGATTACCATTCCAGGAAGTAACATAGGCTCTTCGTATGACATACACATTTCGGTAGTTTATATACCACCTAATCATCAAATATCTTCGCGCATAAAGGATCTCATTAACACACTGTTAGCTGTTCGTGATAAATACCCAAATGACTATATAATTGTTTCAGGAGATTTTAATGTACCATGTATTGACTGGAGTTCTGGAGACCCAGTTATACGTAGGAAAGGATCAGTCGAAGTTCAAACTGCAGCATCTGATCTTATATCTTGTTGTTCTTTCATAGGACTTTCTCAATACAATACACTCTTAAACAGTAGCAAGAATACTCTAGACTTAATCTTTTCATCTTTCCCAATAAAAGTTCAAAAATCTGAATTTGTGCTTGTTATAGAAGATGTATATCATCCAGCTCTGTACATATCTGCGACGGACATCTTAGTACCTTCACGTAGGCCTTCTTTAAGGACTAAATATCAATTTAAGCGAGCAGACTACCGTAGTATGAATGATTTACTTTTGAAACAAGACTGGGCTTTTATCACAAGGGAAACAAGTTTAGATCGTGTTACTGATAAATTTTACAGTATAATAAATGAATTAATTGAAAAATTCGTTCCTAAAATCCGATGTAGTAGTAATTATTCTTATCCAATATGGTACAGCAGAGCACTAATTAACCTTATAAAAGAAAAGAGTAAATTGCACTCTAGTTGGAAGAAGCATAAAAATCCGATTGATTACGCAGACTTTTCGGAGCTGAGAAAACGACAAAAGATACTACAGCAACAATGTTATAAACTGTACCTAGCACGCACTCAAGAGAATATTAAACATAACCCCAAAGCTTTCTGGAGTTATGTAAAGTCTAAGC